TATATATATATATATACGCTAATAAGCTGCTGTAAAAGCCCCTTTACCATGGTCAAATCACTGTATGACACAGCCTGGACTGTTTTATAAAAGACATTAATGTTCAATAAACGGTTTAATCTAACAAATAAAAACACACACGTCAACAGTTCTTGCATCATGTAGTTCATCACTGTAACTGTATCTGAATATAAACGTGTTTAAACACAATCATCCCATCACAGCGTTCACTCTCAGCTATCAGTTTAATAAGTGAATTCTTAAATTCTTAATTCAGACTCTGATCAGCCTCAAACACCTCCAGATTCTGCATTAATACAAACACAAACAGCTCAGTGTGCTGCTAATCTATCAAGAGCCTCATTACAATGTGCTGTTAATTGAAAACACAGCGCTCTTTGAACGGCCCACACACAGGAACACGCTCTGGCATGGATCAGCATTTGCTCTGGCAGGAACCCAGCGACACCAACATCAGACCACAGCACATGAGAGACGAACAACAGCACTGAAGAACACTGATCCTGTGCACTCAGACCATCATCAACTGCTCCATGTGACCCCATTCTACTCCATCCGACTCCAACTGACTCCATCAGACTTATCCTGACTCCATCAGCCTCTAACTGTCTCCATCAGACTCCACCAGACTCCATTTGACTCTAACCAACTCTATCCGACTCCAACTGTCTCCATCGGACTTCACTCTGACTCCCATCAGACTCAACCTGACACCATCCGACTCCAACTCCAACTGACTCCATCCAACTCAACCTGACGCCATCCGACTCCAACTGACTCCATCCGAATCAACCTGACTCCATCCAACTCAAACCGACTCCATCAGACTCAAAATGACTCCATCTGACTCTAACCAACTCCATCTGACTCCAACTGACTCCATCAGACTCCAACTGATGCAACTTGACTCCATCCGACTTCACCTGACTCCATCCAACTCAAACTGACTCCATCAGACTCCACCAGGCTCCATCTGACTCTAACCAACTCCAACTGACTCCATCTGACTTCACCTGGCTCCATTTGACTCTAACCGACTCCAACTGACGCCATCAGACTTCACCTAACTTTATCCAACTCAAACTGACTCCAACCATCTCTATCTGACTCCATCTGAATCCATCAGACTCCATCTGACTCCAACTGACTCCATCAGACTCCAACTGATGCAACTTGACTCCATCCGACTTCACCTGACTCCATCCAACTCAAACTGACTCCATCAGACTCCACCAGGCTCCATCTGACTCTAACCAACTCCAACTGACGCCATCAGACTTCACCTAACTTTATCCAACTCAAACTGACTCCAACCATCTCTATCTGACTCCATCTGAATCCATCAGACTCCATCTGACTCCAACTGACTCCATCAGACTCCATCAGACTCCAACTGACTCCATCTGACGCAACCTGACTTCATCAGACTCCATCTGACTCCATCAGACTCCAACTGAATCCATTTGACTCCATCAGACTCCACCAGGCTCCATCTGACTCTAACCAACTCCAACTGACGCCATCAGACTTCACCTAACTTTATCCAACTCAAACTGACTCCAACCATCTCTATCTGACTCCATCTGAATCCATCAGACTCCATCTGACTCCAACTGACTCCATCAGACTCCAACTGACTCCATCTGACGCAACCTGACTTCATCAGACTCCATCTGACTCCATCTGAATCCATCAGACTCCATCTGACTCCAACTGACTCCATCAGACTCCAACTGACTCCATCTGACGCAACCTGACTTCATCAGACTCCATCTGACTCCATCTGAATCCATCAGACTCCATCTGACTCCAACTGACTCCATCAGACTCCAACTGACTCCATCTGACGCAACCTGACTTCATCAGACTCCATCTGACTCCATCTGAATCCATCAGACTCCATCTGACTCCAACTGACTCCATCAGACTCCAACTGACTCCATCTGACGCAACCTGACTTCATCAGACTCCATCTGACTCCATCTGAATCCATCAGACTCCATCTGACTCCAACTGACTCCATCAGACTCCAACTGACTCCATCTGACGCAACCTGACTTCATCAGACTCCATCTGACTCCATCTGAATCCATCAGACTCCATCTGACTCCAACTGACTCCATCAGACTCCAACTGACTCCATCTGACGCAACCTGACTTCATCAGACTCCATCTGACTCCATCTGAATCCATCAGACTCCATCTGACTCCAACTGACTCCATCAGACTCCAACTGACTCCATCTGACGCAACCTGACTTCATCAGACTCCATCTGACTCCATCTGAATCCATCAGACTCCATCTGACTCCAACTGACTCCATCAGACTCCAACTGACTCCATCTGACGCAACCTGACTTCATCAGACTCCATCTGACTCCATCTGAATCCATCAGACTCCATCTGACTCCAACTGACTCCATCAGACTCCAACTGACTCCATCTGACGCAACCTGACTCCATCTGACGCAACCTGACTTCATCAGACTCCATCTGACTCCATCTGAATCCATCAGACTCCATCTGACTCCAACTGACTCCATCAGACTCCAACTGACTCCATCTGACGCAACCTGACTCCATCTGACGCAACCTGACTTCATCAGACTCCATCTGACTCCATCTGAATCCATCAGACTCCATCTGACTCCAACTGACTCCATCAGACTCCAACTGACTCCATCTGACGCAACCTGACTCCATCTGACGCAACCTGACTTCATCAGACTCCATCTGACTCCATCTGAATCCATCAGACTCCATCTGACTCCAACTGACTCCATCAGACTCCAACTGACTCCATCTGACGCAACCTGACTCCATCTGACGCAACCTGACTTCATCAGACTCCATCTGACTCCATCTGAATCCATCAGACTCCATCTGACTCCAACTGACTCCATCAGACTCCAACTGACTCCATCTGACGCAACCTGACTCCATCTGACGCAACCTGACTTCATCAGACTCCATCTGACTCCATCTGAATCCATCAGACTCCATCTGACTCCAACTGACTCCATCAGACTCCAACTGACTCCATCTGACGCAACCTGACTCCATCTGACGCAACCTGACTTCATCAGACTCCACTCTGACTCCATCAGACTCCAACTGAATCCATCTGACTCCATCAGACTCCATCAGATTCAACCTGACTCCATCCGAATCCATCAGACTCCAACTGACTTTGTGTTTATGTCTTGTCACAGCCGCTGCAACATTTATTAATAAGAATGCTATCAAAACATCTAGAATATGAACCCTGTTTGACCTCCTGACCCTTTTCTGATTAGCACCTTTCTCTCTTTTATTTTTTTCTAATGTAATTGCATCTGATTGTACATTGGCTTGATAGATGAATGTAGAAAAATCTGTTATTTCTTCTTGTATGTTAAAAAAACTGCAAAACAGATTTAAACATTAAAACATTAAATGTGTAAACATTAAATATTAATTCATTCAATGCTCAAAAGATAAAATGAAATAAAAATATAATGAAATTCGATGGAATCGACTGTGAGCATCACATGATCTGTGTGCTGATCTGAGCCGCTGATTCAGACCCGTGTGTCGCTCAAGATGCTGCCTAAGAAGGGATCTGTCTATGTAGACATTAGCGTCTCTATTAGCGTCTCAAACAGGACCGAAATAAAGCGCATCAGAAACAGAAGCTGCTCTTCCTCTCAGCGGTGGGATGGAAGTGTGTCGTGCCGATCAGGTCACGCGTGTCTCTGAAAGCGTGCAATTACAGTCCAACACCGCGCAACACCGAACTGAAGAACAACTAATTACTGTAATTATGTAGACGCTTCGAGAGCAGAGGCAGCGTTTAAAACAAACTCCACCACAAACTTTCACAATAATAATTAATCACTGGACTATTGTCTCCAGCAGATAACACCGCTCTGTAAATCAGCTGCAGAAGTGCAATGTTACTCTCCATTTCATATTAGATCAGAGCTGATTGTGAAACGTGTTAAACATGTTCTCTATTAAAACATCTCGTGATCTAATTATTTCTGAAACAAACTCAATAATGAGGCCTAGTGTTATATAATCTCACTTCATCACTTTCTCTTTTCATTTGGATCTTGATGGACTTGAATCGAAAGATCAGATGATTCACACTGAATGAATGAATCAGTGTGAAATCAGTTCATTCAGACTCCGATTCTGATTGGACGACCGGCTCTTACCTGGTGTGAGTGACGATATCAGTCAAGGCTCCGCCCTCCAGGAACTCCATCACTACCCAGAGTTCATCACTGACCAGATAACTGTTGTACATGTCGACCACGTTCTCGTGATGGTAGTCTCTCATGATGACCACCTGCAGGCAGATGAACAGCGAACAGGAACACGATTAAAACATCTCGATTACAAATTAGGCCTACATGACGAAAATTGTAGTTAGTAACATAATCTGGATTACACATATTAGGTAATGTAGTCTGACTACTCATTTTATCACATAGACGTGAATGGGATTATTGTGTACCTTAAAAAAAAACAACAACAAAAATTATTAAATTACTTATCTTAAAAACACTTATATGTGACCCTGGAGCACAAAACCAGTCATAAGGGTCAGTTTTGTGAAATTGAGATTTATACATCACTGAAAGCTGAATAAATAATCTTTCCATTGATGTATGGTTTGTTAGGATAGGACAATATTTGGCTGAGATACAACTATTTGAAAATCTGGAATCTGAGGGTGCAAAAAAATCTAAATATTGAGAAAATCATCTTTAAAGTTGTCCAAATGAAGTTCTTAGCAATGCATATTACTAATCAAAAATTAAGTTTTAATATATTCACGGTAGGAAATTTACTAAATGTCTTCATGGAACATGATCTTTACTTAATATCCTAATGATTTTTGGCATAAAAGAAAAATGTATAATTTTGACCCATACAATGTATTGTTGGCTATTGCTACAAATATACCCCAGCGACTTAAGACTGATTTTGTGCTGCAGGGTCACATATTGCAATACTAATATTTAATATTTTGGTTAGTATTTTAATAATAATAATAATAATTATTATTATTATTTTTATTATAATTACTATAATTATTATTTTATAGACATATTGATATATAATCACATAGTTTTTGCCTATATTGCGCAACTAACCTGACTCCATCTGACTCCATCTGACTCAACCTGACTCCATCAGACTCCATCTGACTCCAACTGACTCCATCAGACTCCAACTGACTCCATCAGACTCCAACTGACTCCATCTGACGCAACCTGACTTCATCAGACTCCATCTGACTCCATCTACCAACTCCCAACTCCATCTGACTCCAACTGACTCCATCAGACTCCAACTGATGCAACTTGACTCCATCACCTGACTCCTGACTCCATCCAACTCAAACTGACTCCATCAGACTCCACCAGGCTCCATCTGACTCTAACCAACTCCAACTGACTCCATCTGACTTCACCTGGCTCCATTTGACTCTAACCGACTCCAACTGACGCCATCAGACTTCACCTAACTTTATCCAACTCAAACTGACTCCAACCATCTCTATCTGACTCCATCTGAATCCATCAGACTCCATCTGACTCCAACTGACTCCATCAGACTCCAACTGACTCCATCTGACGCAACCTGACTTCATCAGACTCCATCTGACTCCATCTGAATCCATCAGACTCCATCTGACTCCAACTGACTCCATCAGACTCCATCAGACTCCAACTGACTCCATCTGACGCAACCTGACTTCATCAGACTCCATCTGACTCCATCTGAATCCATCAGACTCCATCTGACTCCAACTGACTCCATCAGACTCCATCAGACTCCAACTGACTCCATCTGACACAACCTGACTCCATCTGACGCAACCTGACTTCATCAGACTCCATCTGACTCCATCAGACTCCAACTGAATCCATTTGACTCCATCAGACTCCACCAGGCTCCATCTGACTCTAACCAACTCCAACTGACGCCATCAGACTTCACCTAACTTTATCCAACTCAAACTGACTCCAACCATCTCTATCTGACTCCATCTGAATCCATCAGACTCCATCTGACTCCAACTGACTCCATCAGACTCCAACTGACTCCATCTGACGCAACCTGACTTCATCAGACTCCATCTGACTCCATCTGAATCCATCAGACTCCATCTGACTCCAACTGACTCCATCAGACTCCAACTGACTCCATCTGACGCAACCTGACTTCATCAGACTCCATCTGACTCCATCTGAATCCATCAGACTCCATCTGACTCCAACTGACTCCATCAGACTCCAACTGACTCCATCTGACGCAACCTGACTTCATCAGACTCCATCTGACTCCATCTGAATCCATCAGACTCCATCTGACTCCAACTGACTCCATCAGACTCCAACTGACTCCATCTGACGCAACCTGACTTCATCAGACTCCATCTGACTCCATCTGAATCCATCAGACTCCATCTGACTCCAACTGACTCCATCAGACTCCAACTGACTCCATCTGACGCAACCTGACTTCATCAGACTCCATCTGACTCCATCTGAATCCATCAGACTCCATCTGACTCCAACTGACTCCATCAGACTCCAACTGACTCCATCTGACGCAACCTGACTCCATCTGACGCAACCTGACTTCATCAGACTCCACTCTGACTCCATCAGACTCCAACTGAATCCATCTGACTCCATCAGACTCCATCAGATTCAACCTGACTCCATCCGAATCCATCAGACTCCAACTGACTTTGTGTTTATGTCTTGTCACAGCCGCTGCAACATTTATTAATAAGAATGCTATCAAAACATCTAGAATATGAACCCTGTTTGACCTCCTGACCCTTTTCTGATTAGCACCTTTCTCTCTTTTATTTTTTTCTAATGTAATTGCATCTGATTGTACATTGGCTTGATAGATGAATGTAGAAAAATCTGTTATTTCTTCTTGTATGTTAAAAAAACTGCAAAACAGATTTAAACATTAAAACATTAAATGTGTAAACATTAAATATTAATTCATTCAATGCTCAAAAGATAAAATGAAATAAAAATATAATGAAATTCGATGGAATCGACTGTGAGCATCACATGATCTGTGTGCTGATCTGAGCCGCTGATTCAGACCCGTGTGTCGCTCAAGATGCTGCCTAAGAAGGGATCTGTCTATGTAGACATTAGCGTCTCTATTAGCGTCTCAAACAGGACCGAAATAAAGCGCATCAGAAACAGAAGCTGCTCTTCCTCTCAGCGGTGGGATGGAAGTGTGTCGTGCCGATCAGGTCACGCGTGTCTCTGAAAGCGTGCAATTACAGTCCAACACCGCGCAACACCGAACTGAAGAACAACTAATTACTGTAATTATGTAGACGCTTCGAGAGCAGAGGCAGCGTTTAAAACAAACTCCACCACAAACTTTCACAATAATAATTAATCACTGGACTATTGTCTCCAGCAGATAACACCGCTCTGTAAATCAGCTGCAGAAGTGCAATGTTACTCTCCATTTCATATTAGATCAGAGCTGATTGTGAAACGTGTTAAACATGTTCTCTATTAAAACATCTCGTGATCTAGTTATTTCTGAAACAAACTCAATAATGAGGCCTAGTGTTATATAATCTCACTTCATCACTTTCTCTTTTCATTTGGATCTTGATGGACTTGAATCGAAAGATCAGATGATTCACACTGAATGAATGAATCAGTGTGAAATCAGTTCATTCAGACTCCGATTCTGATTGGACGACCGGCTCTTACCTGGTGTGAGTGACGATATCAGTCAAGGCTCCGCCCTCCAGGAACTCCATCACTACCCAGAGTTCATCACTGACCAGATAACTGTTGTACATGTCGACCACGTTCTCGTGATGGTAGTCTCTCATGATGACCACCTGCAGGCAGATGAACAGCGAACAGGAACACGATTAAAACATCTCGATTACAAATTAGGCCTACATGACGAAAATTGTAGTTAGTAACATAATCTGGATTACACATATTAGGTAATGTAGTCTGACTACTCATTTTATCACATAGACGTGAATGGGATTATTGTGTACCTTAAAAAAAAACAACAACAAAAATTATTAAATTACTTATCTTAAAAACACTTATATGTGACCCTGGAGCACAAAACCAGTCATAAGGGTGACTGCTTTTGTGCTGCAGGGTCACATATTGCAATACTAATATTTAATATTTTGGTTAGTATTTTAATAATAATAATAATAATTATTATTATTATTTTTATTATAATTACTATAATTATTATTTTATAGACATATTGATATATAATCACATAGTTTTTGCCTATATTGCGCAACTTTTCGCTATTTTGTTGACCAGGATATTGGCGCGCTCACCTCGTTGAACAGAAGTTCCCGCCGCTGCTGTTTTCTCAGGTCCATCTTCTTCACAGCCACCTGTTTGCCGCTGTGCTTCTCGGTGGCGATGCACACGATGCCCGTGGATCCCTCCCCGATCTTCAGGAAGTTGTCCAGATACTCGCGCGGGTCGCCGGGGTTCACCACCAGCTGCAGCGCCGCGCGGAACTGCTCGTGCGAAACCCTGCAGGGCGGCTGCTCGGAGGACGAGCCCCAGCTGGGCGGCGGATAGGCCCCGGGGCCCGGGATGAAGGGCGAGGAGGGCTGCGAGTGCGCGCCCTGCGGGGTGTAGGGAGGGCTGGGCTGCGGCGGCGAGGGCTTGTAGTGGAAACTGGCCGGGTAACCGGGTTTGCCGTGGCTCTGAGGTAGTTTGAGGGGAACACGCGGGTACGTCTCAGGCCCCGGCCCCTGCGGACTCCCATCACGGGCCACTCGCTCATACTCACCCTGTTAGACCCAAACACACAACATCATGAGTGAATAATGCAGCAGCAGAAGACGCTCATTACAGGCCGTGATGATCCTCAGAGCTGCTGTCTGCTGAGGGAACAGCCCTCAAACTGAGGCTCAATGTCACACATTACAGCAGGACAACAAACCAAATCACTCTGACACTGGATTCACAGAATCATTCACTGAAGATCTGCTGTGTTTTACTGAAGTGAAAAAAAATTGTGATATATTATTATAATTTCAAATAACTGTTTTCTATGTGAATATCTGTTAAACTGTAATTTATTTCTGTGATGCGCAGCTGTATTTTCAGCATCATTACTCCAGTCTTCAGTGTCACATGATCTTCAGAAATCATTCTAATATGCTGATTTGCTGCCCGAGAAACATTTCTGATTATTATCAATGTTGAAAACATTAATATTTTTGTGGAAACCGTGATGCATTTTATTTTCCAGGATTCACAGATGAATAGAAAGTTCAAAAGAGCAGCATTGATTTGAAATAGAAATCTTTTGTAACATTATAAATGTCTTTACTGTCACTTTTAATCAATTTAATGCATCAATGCTGAATAAAAGTATTAATTTAATTAATTTCTTTCAAAAACAAAATCAGAAATGTTTGAGCAGCAAATCAGCATATTAGAATGATTTCTGAAGATCACGTGACACTGAAGACTGGAGTAATGATGCTGAAAATACAGCTGCGCATCACAGAAATACATTACAGTTTAACAGATATATTTACATAGAAAACAGATTATTTTAAATTGTAATAATTATATGTAATATAATCATATTGTAATAATATTTCAAGAGTTCTTTCAAAAACATTGAAAAACTTAATTATTACTTTTTTATTATATTAATTATTACTTAATTATTCAAACGTTTGACTAGTAGAGTGTGCGCTACACACATATGGAAGTGAGTAAAAGCAGAGCTGGGATCTTTTCAGCAAACAAAGAAAAACGAGCATCTGTTAGAGGAATAAAGCAGGATCCACGTCACAGGATCTGATTCCCGGTCAGCGGGGTCACGGTGGGCAGTAGATTGAATTATTCCCACCACGCCCCGAACATAAAAAGATGACACGACACGGATCGACATCTAAGCGGCTGATGATGAGAACGCCGGCTGTAATTACGCCGGTGGACTCGTTTAATCAAAATATTTTTGTGGAAACCGTGATGCATTTTATTTTCCAGGATTCACAGATGAATAGAAAGTTCAAAAGAGCAGCATTGATTTGAAATAGAAATCTTTTGTAACATTATAAATGTCTTTACTGTCACTTTTAATCAATTTAATGCATCAATGCTGAATAAAAGTATTAATTTAATTAATTTCTTTCAAAAACAAAATCAGAAATGTTTGAGCAGCAAATCAGCATATTAGAATGATTTCTGAAGATCACGTGACACTGAAGACTGGAGTAATGATGCTGAAAATACAGCTGCGCATCACAGAAATACATTACAGTTTAACAGATATATTTACATAGAAAACAGATTATTTTAAATTGTAATAATTATATGTAATATAATCATATTGTAATAATATTTCAAGAGTTCTTTCAAAAACATTGAAAAACTTAATTATTACTTTTTTATTATATTAATTATTACTTAATTATTCAAACGTTTGACTAGTAGAGTGTGCGCTACACACATATGGAAGTGAGTAAAAGCAGAGCTGGGATCTTTTCAGCAAACAAAGAAAAACGAGCATCTGTTAGAGGAATAAAGCAGGATCCACGTCACAGGATCTGATTCCCGGTCAGCGGGGTCACGGTGGGCAGTAGATTGAATTATTCCCACCACGCCCCGAACATAAAAAGATGACACGACACGGATCGACATCTAAGCGGCTGATGATGAGAACGCCGGCTGTAATTACGCCGGTGGACTCGTTTAATCAATCATCCCGGCGAGGCTGTTTATGGGCCGGAGAAAGTCCCGAGACCCCCTTTCCCAACCGGTACCACTGGCTGATCCATGTTCGTTAAATGCACATTAATCTGAATTTGGCAGCGTAATCAACAACCCAACTGGAGTGTGAAATTGAATTTCTCTGGTGGAACACGCCGCCGTGGCTTTAATGCAAGGGCTGCAGAAAAGGAAGGTGCCACAACATCAGTTCATCACAATGAGCACGAGCGTGCCCGAGTTCCCAAGTCCCCGAGCTGTCGGCCTTTAACGGCCTGAGATTCCCAACAGCGCCAACAAAACGCTGGGCTCGCTGAAAGTGACCGAGTCGAGGTGAATGAGAACGAAAGAGGTTCATTATGAGGCCGCTGAGCCGAGACTGATAGGACTGCAGCCTGTGTGCTGAACATTTCCCCGAATCACCGTCTAACCCTGCGTAACTCAGCCAAACCCGCCAGAAACACGGCTCAGACTTCACCCAGAAACATGAAAGTACTGAAAATAAAGTGAAAGTGACGTGACATGTGGCCAAGTATGGTGACCCAAACAGACGTTTCTTAATGACAAATTTTCCTGATGATGGTGATAGTAGCAGTAAATACAAAACAATAAGCAAGCAATATTTTTAATGAATCTTAATTTATGTCGTAATATATTGAGGAGTTATTGAGGAAGTGGCTAATACTCTTCTAATGCGGAAAGTGCATGAAATGCAATGTAAAAGCATCTGCTAAATGCATAAAATTAGAAAAACAGCATACATTAAACGCAGAACATCCAACATGTTCTTAAATAAAATGCTGTTCAGGCAGAGGAAGACAGTTTTGGGGGCTGAAAATATGTCATAAAAGTTCCTAAAACATGAAAAAGTATACAAAACAGGTTCTGCGAGGGATGTAAATTTATGTTGCAATATATTAAGACGTTATTGAGGAATCTCATACTTCAGTGTTTCCCACAGACTTACACTCAATGTGTGGCGGCACTTCCCCCGGGGGAAATATAGGCTATATATAAAACAGCAAATGGGATTATTGAAATTGCAAATTCATTCTCTGCCAGCAGGAGGCGCTTTAGGAGCGGCAGATATAGCGGTTTCCCCGGTAACGGCTATAAACAAAGTAGCGCTCCGCTCATAAACGCTACTTTATCAGGCATTATAGGAAAGATTAAACGAAAATGACGTCACAGTCAGTGCCCTTCAAAGATACAGTCATATAAAAACACCCACGCCACGTTTTGACTTTGAAACGTACAGAGCTCATGTTTATTCAACGAAGTCAAAGCCTTTTGGAAAATCTATTTGTGGCAGTCAATGTTGATATTGTGGTGGGCCGCCACAAATAAATCAATGTACGGGAAACACTGTACTTCTAATGCGGAAAGCATCCTCCAAATGCATGTATGTAAATGTAGCGCTCTTTTATCATATTAATATTTATCGCACAATTTTGCTGCCACAAGATATTTGAGCAAAACAATGGATCTCCATGGAGCCTTTTCCTCCAAAATCTACCACGTGACAATCTCTGAGAAGAGATCACATGCAAATGATGCATTATCAGTAGCGGTTCCCTTTGGTAAGTCTGGATTTATCTTGCTTGAAAATTGCAAACTGTGCCAGAGAACCACACAAACTCATTGCACTATTCACAAGTTCTCACTTACATATAATCAGAGCAAAGAGTGTGCATATTTGGCATGTGGTCCGAAGGGGAGGGGCTCTGAGCTTGGAATATAGACTGAACCCAGAGAACCCCCCCATATCTCCAAGCTGGGACAGGAATAGTTAGGAGTGAGGAGTTGGGGTGGAGGAGGGATGCCAGAAAACTGTTGTGGGACAAAGGCAAGTTGGCTGTATAAATATTTTACTATAGTGCTAATTATATATAGTGCTCCGCCCGAACTTTGTTAATAAAACATCACATAGTGTGAATTCGTCCTTAATGCATTGGTGCATTTCGACAAAACACCCTGCAGGACAAAAAAAGCCAGACTTCATCATTAGAAGGAGGCTGATTTGATCTTTACCGTGCTTATGACGAGTGAAGACGTGTTCTCGGACAGTCTGGGGTACGTGTACGAGCTGTACGGCCCCTGCGGCGCAGCTTTAAATGCACTGATGCCATACGGCAGGCTGGGCTCCTGCAGGCCCGACCCTGAGCGCGAGCGCTGCCGGATGGCCGGCTGGGGGCTCGTCTGACGGATGTACGAGGACTTGGGCCTCTTGTCGTAGTCGTCTCTAAGTCCCGCTCCATATCCCCAGTCTCCATCGGGATAGTTCATCTGCTCGCTGTGGATGGAGATGCGCGACGGCGTTCCCAGCGGATGCTCCCGATAGTCCTGGCTGGATCCGCCTAGAGAGGCGCGGTAGTATTCCCTGCGGCCACCCATGGCCATCTCGTCGGTGGACAGCCGCATCTTGTTCTCCAGGTAGGCGTGGTAGTCGGGTGGCATCTTGGCGTAGTCCGAGGACTTCTGCGGCATGGCATCAGGATAGAAGTGGCTGCGGATGGGATGGCCGTTCTGTCTGAGAGAGAAGCGGTAGTGCCGTCCGACCGCACACTCGCCATCATGGGCGCCTCGGTCGCGGTACGCCTCTAGCGAGAAGTCTTTACTGCTGTCCAGGTCGCACGAGAAGCGGCCGTAATAGTGTCCAAAGCCGTTCTCCTCCGATCCGCCGGCGTTGGACGTGGACGCAGACACTGGCTTGCTCCTGCCGGACTGATGGGCTCCAGGCGGACTCTCTTTCCTCAGAGAGTTGGAGCGGGTGACGGAGATACTGTCAAACTCCTCAAGCAGGCCGTTGATGGAGGCGTCCTTGGGCGGCCGGCTCCCACGGACGATGGTCTGCAAAGAGAAGGCAGGTGAGTCGGTGAGAGGCACAAAGCATCAACAAGAAGGTCCAGGCCTGAGCGTTCCACCACATATATTTTGACAGAGCCAAACAGCAGTGGGAGTGGGATCAGAAAACGTTTGGCAGCGGCGCTCTCACGAGCCGAGCCTGAATAAATCACAGCATTGCTCATCTCATCCCACTGCTGCTTAAGCGTGTTACACAGCTGCGTCGTGACTCACCGCAGAACTAAACACTGAAACAGACCCAAAATATAAGAGTGGCACGAGCTGAAAGGCCCGATGGAAGGTTTTTCCCAACTTCCCCTCTCACTAGTCATCCAAAACTACACTACAATTACATGAGCAGATTTAGAAAAACAGACGGGTCTTTTCATATTTTCCGTACAGATTGACCCAAACCAGGTATAAACCAATCCCACATACACAGTTCTTTTAAGAACTGATCACTGAAAGGTTCTTTGGGGAACCAGAAATGGTTATGTGGTTCCATGGCATTGCTCTAAAAACCACCTTTTAAAACCTTTATTTTAAAGAGTATACAGTATCATTATTTTAGAGTACCTGATGCTGTATGCACAAGGACAAATTGTGATTATTTACTATGTAAGTGATCAAATCTTAAAAGAAGAGACTACTTTTCTAGACATTACTGTACAGTATGTGATGTATGCAGCTCCAGTAAAGAGAGGCCGCTGTGATCTTGACCTGCATCTGCAGTATAAAAACTCTCTGACCTCATTTAGTTGCTGCCGCGGCTCTTTAAGTAACATCAGATGACCTGAAGGAAAACTAGTACAAAGGTCCGGAGGTTCTAAATCACGGCTGATGATCCAGAACACAGTGTTTTAAGCATGCAGTAATTAGCTCATTCAGATGGAGTTAAACTCTGGTCACATTCATGCTGTGAAACTTCGGTAAGATCCAGCCAGACCTACACGTCTCTTTAAAAAAAAGTTTTCAATTTCTCATCATAGGTTCTTCAGATTTATGTTTCGGTTCCAGGGTTCTTTGAAGCATCAAAACATACTGTAGATGTTTTTCTAAAGAACCAGAAAACAACTCTGGATCTTAAGAACCTCCTTCTATGGCTTCATTCTGTAAAACCCTTTTGGTTCTGACTGATATTCTGGTTGATTTCTTTAATATTGGGAGAAACTAATGCATAAGACTGTTGGTCAATGAAACTCAAACATGAGACACAGCTGAGACCAGAATGAGATCAGAGCAATCGGGCCACATTCACATGAACATAATTTTCAGATGAAGGTCCATATTAAGCCTTTACTCTGAAGCACTACAGATGCACGTCATCAAAACAAAACCAGATTCTCAATGCAAAGTATTCACAGATCATTTTCACACATTCTCACTTCAACAATCAAGTCAGACAGGTGTGCATGAATAGATGTATGATCTCCCTACAGACATGAAGTGTTTGACTTAACAGATCTGAAGAGCTGGAACATGTGGTCAGGTTAAGAAAAAGAGAGGAGCTAATAAATGTCACAGTCTGAGCTTCAGTACAGGAAAAGGAAATAAATCACCTGGACGGGCCAGTGTCCTCTTCACAGCAGCGCTACACGGAGTGTCATCCATCTCTTTAATGCGTGTGTCAGCCACTGCGCTCTGAGCTCAGTCCATCTGAAGAGAATGTGACCAGAGGCCTTTACACCTCTGATCTGCTATAGAGCCGCTAACACTCACATTCACACCCACCAACACTCACTCATACTAACACTCACTCACACACACACACACACACACTCACACACACACACACACACACACACACACACTCACTCACTCACACAACACTCGCTCACACTAACACTCACTCACACTAACACTCACTCACACTAACACTCACACACTCACACTCACACACACTAACACTCACTCATACTAACACTCATACACACAAACACACACACACTAACACACACTCACACTAACACTCACACACTCACTCACACTCACACTCACCAACACTCACTCACACTAACACTCACTCACACTAACACTCGCTCACACTAACACTCGCTCACACTAACACTCACTCACACTAACACTCACTCACACTAACACTCACACACTCACACTCACACACACTAACACTCACTCATACTAACACTCACTCACACTAACACTCACACACTCACTCACACACACACTAACACTCACTCATACTAACACTCACTCACACTAACACTCACACACTCACACTCACACACACTAACACTCACTCATACTAACACTCACTCACACTAACACTCACAACCCACACCCACACACACACACACACACACACACACACACAAACACTCACTCACACTAACAGTCACTCACACTCACTCACACTAAGTCACTCACACTAACACACACACACCAACACTCACTCACACTAACAGTCACTCACACTCACACACACACACTAACACTCACTCACCCTCACACCAACGCTCACTCACACTAACAGTCACTTACATTCAAACACACACACTAACACTCACTCACACCAACACTCACTCACACTAACAGTCACACACACACACTAACACTCACTCACACACACACACACACACACACACACACACACAACCACACACACACACACACTCACTCACTCACACACACACACACACACTCACACTCACACTAACACTCACTCACACTTGCTCACACTAACATTCACTCATGCTAACACTCACACACACTAACACTCACTCACACACACACACAAACAGTCGCTCACACTAACACACACTCACGCACACACACTAACACACACACTCACACACACT